ATCCCTCGATCCGAGTCTTCACCGTGCCTCGGCAACAGCGGGACCCGAACCGCGAGACGCAAACACTTGTCACTCATCTCTCGAGAAGGGGGACAAAGGCGAATGGAGCTTCTCATTGGATAACACTCACAACAATCACTCAGTAAGCTCCTGACCAAAACAGACAGTAGCCCCTCACTGCAGAACAAAGATCCAGGGGGCGGGGTTGGATCTACATCTATGGGGTGGAGATGGTATGTTTAGGGGTGGAGATGGGTGGGTTTAGGGATCAGGGGGTGGAGACGGGTAGGTTTAGGTATATGTAAGGTGGGAGGAGTTGGATCTGGATCCAACCTCGCCCCCTGGATCTTGTGTTCTGCAGTGAGGACCATCTCAAAACAGATGACAGATAGATTGTGCGCGTCTTCAAGTGCCAGAAACCTCTGGAACGAAGGCACACACTTCCACACCGCTCACCTGCTTTGGTCTCTCACACGCACTTCAAACAGACGGCTCCTGACCGAAAGAACCGGTTCGCGGAAAAGAACCGAACTTCCCATCACTACTGAAGACAGCAAAGAGGATGACATTCTTCTTCTTCGGTTTTATGGTGGGTAGCACAAATGTTAAGGTGCATTATCGCCACTTACTGCATTTGAGTGTGGACCAGAGTTTACCCTTTCATAATGAGAGGACGAGAAAAAAAAAGTAAAAAAAAAAGAAAGAAAAGACAAAAAAAAAATAACAATAATACATTTTATTTACCTCAATAAAAATTGTCCCTCTAAATTCTTTTAATCAGCTGTTCTCTTAAGATACAAAAATAAACTCTCTAGTCCATAAGTAAATATATTTGTTAAATAACATGTTCTACTGATTCCTCCATTCCACAGTGCTCACATAATCCTGTTGGATGTTTATTTATTATTTTTAAGGTTTTATTCAGCATATGCCCAACCTTTAATCTTGTTAGAATATTTTCCTCTTTGGTGCTTCTTTTAGTTATTCTCACTACTCCTACTTCTCGTTGTATTTCATAAAGTTGACGTCCTGTATTTCCTGTATCCCATTTATGTTGCCACTCCGTAGTGGTATATGCTTTAATTACTGCTTTTGCTTCATATTTACTAAGTAAGAGGATGACGTATTCAGCAGGTGCCCTTTTATACTTCCGGGAATCCCGCCTATGACGTCATGGGCCAGGTGGGCCAATAGATTGGTGTAGTTTCACCATAGACTGTATAAAAACATGGACGTAGTTTCCGAGACGTCACCCGTAGCTTTCCGAAGAGTGTTTTTGAAGCTCAAAAGTGGGCGGAGGCGGCCGTTGCCATCTTGGCAGCGAGTCACCGCACCTCACTCCCCGATAATCGAAAATGGGCAAAGAGGCGGGAGCAGGTTGCTGAAGCCACGCCCACCTAGCTCGACGGTGGTGACAGCAGCGGCAATCCACCTGTCACTCAAGTGGCCACGCCCTTAATTATGCAGAATTTTAAGGCTTAATATAATTTAAACGGATGAGTTATAAAAAAATTCACCCCCCTCACAGTTGTCATGAAGGGCAAAATTAGCTATATAGACCAAAATCTTTTTTTGAACCAGGCTGTAAACGTTTTTTTCTGCTGTAAAGTTGGACATTTTGATATGGGGAGTCTATGGGATTGACTCCCTTTTGCAGCCAGCCTCTAGCGGCCAGTTAATGAATTACAGTTTAAATCACTTCCTTGTTGGCTTCACGAGAGAGAGGGGGAGGTTGCGGCTTGAGTTTCACGCGTGCTTCAGACACCGGTCATGCAGGCATTATTCCCCAATATTCCCCATAGGGGGCGCAGCGTTGAGTTCCCTAAAAGGGGAACTATCAATTACTTCCATGACAATTCTATAATTTCTGCCAACAACTGTTTTACATGCAAAATGTTTCAGGGTTTAATATTACAGGGTTGAAGGTCAGTGCAAAAAAAAAAAAAAAAAGCCTCACCAAAAGTTTGATGTCCAAGGCTTGAAGCACCTTATTAAGTTCTCCATCTTAGTTTTATGAATTTCTCTTGCACTTAAAAGAAAATAATTAAATAAATAAATACATATTTTCACATCTAATAAATCTCCAATCTGAAATGACATTAAATAGGATCTGTGGGTTCAGTTTAAAGCCTTTGAACTAATACAGATACACACCACTGCTCATACAAACTTATACATACAGAACCATGAATACCTATGTGCACTCATATTATAAATCAGGAAAGCACTGGGTTACTTAAAGACAGACAGTTGCTTTGAGAGTTTCACCATAAACATTTACTAAAAACTTCCAAGGAGTTTACCACTGGCTATTTTTTTTAACCACACCAAAAATATTTTAAGGATGGTGCTATATCATGCTGTGCAAGCTATAATAAGAGTGCCACATTCAACGTGAAACCACAGGCAAACTTTGGGGAGCTTTAATGAAAAACACCTCGCACCTCTGCTGCTGTATAATCAGGAACAGCATATTATAGAATTACCCTTCATTATACAATAAAAAAACCCTGAAACATACAGGTCCATATATATTTGGACACAGGCACAATTGTTGTTATTTTAGCTGTTGACCAAAACATATTGAAGTTATAGTTATATAATGCACATTAGCTTTAAAGTGCACACTCTGAACTTTTATTTGAGGGTATACTCATCAAAATTGGAGGAAAGATTAAGGAATTACAGCCCTTTAATATGTACCTCCCCCTTTTTCAAAGGACCAAAAGTAATTGAACAACTGACTCAAAAGCTTCATGGACAGTTGTGAGCGATTCCTTCGTTATTTCTACATCAACTGAGCAGGTAAAAGGTCTGGAGTTAATTCTAAGTGTGGTATTTGCATTTGGAAGCTGTTGCTGTGAACCCACATCATGCGGTCAAAGGAGCTCTCCATGCAAGTGAAACAGACAATTGTTAGGCTTCAAAAACAAAACAAATCCATCAGAGAGATAGCAGAAACATTAGGAGTAGCCAGATCAACAGTTTGGTACATTCTGAGAAAAAAAGGACTGGTGAGCTCAGCAACATAAAAATGCCTGGACGTCCACGCAAGACAACAGAGGTGGATGATCTGAGGATCCTTTCTATGGTAAAGAAAAATCCTCTCACAACATCCAGTGAAGTTAAGAACACTCTCCAGGAGGTAGGCGTGTCACTGTCAAAGTCTACAATCAAGAGAAGACTTCACAAGAGCAAATACAGAGGGTTCACCACAAGGTGCAAACCATTCGTAAGCCTCAGGAATAGAAAAGCCAGATTAGACTTTGCCAAAAAAAAACATCTAAAAAAGCCAGACCACTTCTGGAAAAGCATTCTTTGGATGGATGAAACTAAGATCAACCTGTACCAGAATTACAATAAGAAAAAAAGTATGGGGAAGGCTTAGAAAAGCTCATGATCCAAAGCACACAGCGTCATCTGTGAAACACGGTGGAGGCAGCGTGATGGCATGGGCATGCATGGTTTCCAGTGGCACTGGTTCACTGGTGTTTATTGATGACGTGACAGAAGACAGAAGCAGCCGGTTGAATTTTGAAGTGTATAAGGATATACTGTCTGCCCAGATTCAGCCAAATGCAGCAAAGTTGATTGGATGGCGCTTTATTGTACAAGTGGACAATGACCTAAAACATACAACAAAAACAATCCAGGAGTTTTTGAAGGTAAAAAAAGTGGAATATTCTGCGATGGCCGAGTCAATCTACTGATCTCAACCCGACTGAGCATGCATTTCACTTATTGAAGACAAAACTAAAGGCAGAAAGACCCACAAACAACAACTGACGTCAGCTGCAGTAAAGGCCTGGCAAAGCATCACAAATGAGGAACCCCAGTCCTTGGTGATGTCCATGAGTTCCAGGCTTAAGGCAACATTGCCTGCAAAGGATTCTCAACAAAATATTAAAAATGAACATTTTATTTATGATTATATTTATTTGTCCAATTACATTTGAGCCCCTGAAAATAGGGGGACTGTATATAAAAATGGTTGTAACTCCTAAGCAGTTTATGTTATTTATTTTTGTTCAGCCCCTTGAATTAAAGCTGAAAGCCTGCACTTCAATTTCATCTTGATTGTTTCATTTTAATTCCATTCTGGTGGCATGTAGAGACAAAATGATTAAAACTGTGTCAGTGTCCAAATATATATGGACCTACCTTTAACAGCCGTCATGCTTTCACAAAGTTTTGTTTCTTTAAGTCAAACGAACACATGCATGATTATATAAACATGCAGATTTTAAGTGTCATATCAAGAAGTACCTAATCTTCCTTAATTAATATTGCATATTCAAAACAATTTGAACATTCTCTCATCTCACAGTGAATTTCCTATTTCCTTTTTAGAGACTATGCCTGTTTAAGCAAATGAGGCCAACTACATAATGCAAAGACATTAGATCTGATGAACAAAGAAATTTAATAGATCTGATAAAAAATTATGATAATTCAGACCACCAATGCTGTAAAAACTTTATGAACTCGTGTGAAAGACTGCATTTCACAATATTACATCGCTAGAATATTACATTCACAAGATAAAAGACCCCAACCACAGGTAGAGTCATATCACCCCTACACTGCTGTTCCAGTTATGCTTTCTGGGGACATAAGTCTTACAAAAATATACTGTGGATAGCATATTATGAATGTGCTATATAGGAAATATTTTAAAGAACTGGTGCCTCCACTGATGTAAAGACTGCATTCAGTTTCTAATTGGCCTGTAGTGTTAAAATGTATATACGTTTCAGCTTTTCAAACTGACCTCTAAGTTGACAAAATCTTTCAAAAGATTCAAATAGGAAGAGTAAAGGTCAACACAAAGTATGTTGACTGGAGCCCTATTGTAATGTCAGTCAAAATGGGAATAAACATTTTTAACAACAGTACAGTCATTCGGTATCCAATTAGTTAGGCAAATAAAACAAAATTAACATTGAAGGAATAGTTTACCCAAAAATGAACATTTGCTGAATATTTACTCAAAATATACTGTGGATAGCATATTATGAATGTGCTATATAGGAAATATTTTAAAGAACTGGTGCCTCCACTGATGTAAAGACTGCATTCAGTTTCTAATTGGCCTGTAGTGTTAAAATGTATATACGTTTCAGCTTTTCAAACTGACCTCTAAGTTGACAAAATCTTTCAAAAGATTCAAATAGGAAGAGTAAAGGTCAACACAAAGTATGTTGACTGGAGCCCTATTGTAATGTCAGTCAAAATGGGAATAAACATTTTTAACAACAGTACAGTCATTCGGTATCCAATTAGTTAGGCAAATAAAACAAAATTAACATTGAAGGAATAGTTTACCCAAAAATGAACATTTGCTGAATATTTACTCACCCTCAGGCAATCCAAGACGTGTTTGCTCATTCATCAGAACAGATCTGAAGGAATTTAGCTTCACTCACTGACCAATTGACATGACTCCAGTTCATCAGTAAACATCTTATGAAGCTGTTTGTTTGTAAGAAACAATTCAATCATTAATTTTTTTTTAATTCAAATGAGTCTACAGTTAAAATAAAATTGGTTTCCATGGTGAAAAGGTCGTCTTGTCTGAATCATAAAAGAAATATACACAGATCAAGCACTGTTTACAAACGATGACAGGTTAAAACCATTCTAAACAAATATGTTGGAAGATTTTGATGTGAGAGGACAACGGGGGATGGACGTTTTAACTGAAGGAAGCATTTTTTAATGGATTATGCACTTGTTTTTTTGCCACAAACGATGGTTTAAAGGTAAAATGCCTTGATGGACTTATTACAAACATGCTTTTCACTCCATAAGACATTTATTGATCGACTGGAGTTATTTGGATTAGTGGATTATTGTGATGTTTTTATCAGCTGTTTAAGCTATTATTCTGATGACACCCATTCACTGCTGGGTGAATTCACATTCAATTGCTAAACAAGTGATGTAATGCTAAATTTATCATACATCTTGGGGGTGAGTACGTTTTAATTTTGAGTGAACTATTCCTTTAATTAAAACACTTTTACTACAAACATTTTTTTAATAATAAAAAAAAAAAATGCCTATTTATGCATTACACATAGGGTTGTTCTTAATTATAAAATTATATACAGACACATTTTTGTATAGGTTATATACTTGTTGCTACAGCTAAAGCTCCTAGTAGATTAATGAGATTAATGTATGCATACAAACATAAAACAGGAAGAATTCATTATTATTATAATGCACAGATATGTAGTTCTTTGAAACAATGTTTGACAAGAGTGTTGAGCTGTATTCTTCCAGTAAAGAAGGGAGCAAAGCTATGGGCAATACATTTCCTCCTAAGCAAAGTGAACCCACACAATATATGAGGGTACTTGCAAAAACTTCCTCTCAGTTAACCAGCTGTAAATACTGAAAAAAAAGAGGTGATGAATATCTAAGTAATTGTAGTGTGAATGTCCAAATAATATTTCTAATCCACTGTAAACCGTACAACAAGGTGTAGCTGGTACATCAGATCCTGTAGTGATAATCTTTGTTGACCTCTTCTTGTGGGTTAAAATTCACTCATCTGATTCATACCTGAGGAGGGAATATAATGCAGCAAATTCATAAATATATTTAATTTAAACCAAAGGCAGTTTCTCACAACATTTCAGTGATAGTCATAATAGAGAAACTGTACCTTTGTAATCTCTTTCTCAGATCTTTAATCTGTTCATTCTTTTTAGTGAGAATCTCCTTCATGTTGCGGTAAGCAGCCGTCTGCTGAAATTTCTTCTCCAGTTCCTTAATGGGAAAATAAACATAATATGATTAATCAAACACATCAACCTTCACTTATATATTTATAAACATAATACATTTATAAACAATAAATATGAACAATAAAGCATCAACAGGTGTTGACATTTCCCAACAGCACAGTAGTAATGACTTTATGAACTACTTTACTTCCAAGATCGATACTATTAGAGATAAAATTGTATCCATGCAGCCGTCAGCTACAGTATCGCATCAGATAGTGCGCTATAGATCCCCTGAGGAACAATTCCACTCATTCTCTACTATAGGAGAGGAAGAATTTTATAAACTTGTTAAATCATCTAAACCAACATGTATGTTAGACCCTATTCCATCTAAGCTCCTAAAAGAGGTGCTTCCAGAAGTCATAGATCCTCTTCTGACTATTATTAATTCGTCATTGTCATTAGGATATGTACCCAAAACCTTCAAACTGGCTGTTATTAAGCCTCTCATCAAAAAACCACAACTTGACCCCAAAGAACTAGTTAATTACAGACCGATCTCAAATCTCCCTTTTCTGTCCAAAATGCTAGAAAAGGTAGTATCCTCACAATTATATTCCTTCTTAGAGAAAAATGGTATCTGTGAGGATTTCCAGTCCGGATTTAGACCGTATCACAGTACTGAGACTTACAAATGATCTTATCATCTGATCGTGGTTGTATCTCTCTATTAGTGCTACTGGATCTTAGCGCTGCGTTCGACACTATTGACCACAACATTCTTTT